AGAGTGCGCGCTGCGCAGACAATCATATATTGCAAATGTTTGCATTCAGCAAATGGAAAAGTCATTATCACGTATTCAATGTAAAAGCCCTTGAGCTTCGGCTGTAAGTACACACACACACACACTGAATCACACATGCATAGCGTACATTATTTGCTTTGCAACAAAGGAAAATTTGTGGCGCCTTTGGCGCATTTGCAACTGTTTAGCTTAAGTCGATCAGCTTTTGCGTCTTGCTGCCTCACCCCTGCAACATATTGACAACATGCAACAAGCTGTTCCGCAGCTCAAAGTCTCCAACGACTTGCCACATTGTGGCGCAGTGGCAAGAGAGCAATGCATGCCGCTACAATGTCGCGGCCAAGGCAACATGATGATGCTTTGCCAAAAGGTCGCACCAGCTCTTCCTTGGCCAGTTTCACTTAGCCGCAGATGCTTTCACTTTTGTCTGCTTGCGTTTTTTTTTTCAATTTTGGGGCCGTGTCACGTTCGCCTTTGCATCAATTTATCATCAACGGGTGGCTGTGCAGCCGGTCCATTGAACCCGAAGCGAGCTGAGGGTTATTGCAGATCTCTTTTATTTTTTGGCCACCAACAACGGGTTAAAGCTTTTGTCATTTGTCAAGGTGACCAAATGGCGACCACGACGGGACGCACCCAAAAATCATATTCCAGCTATTTGCCCAAATTATTTAGGATTTACGCAAACAATTGCGTCTATGTGGCAGATGCCTTTGTCTGCCTCCTCGACGAGTGCTGCACAAAGGTAATACAAATTGTCTGCAATCCTTGTTGTACGTGTGCCTTGCACACAGAAGAAGGTTAACTTGGGTTTAATGTAGATTGTCGAACTAATTCTGCTTAGCTTTCACTGATACGAGCTGTTCGAATGAGAAGCTATGGGATATAGAGACTACAGATTAGCTTTATTTCTTCCTCAGGTCAAATATAGCTAAAGTATTCGCTTTTGTGCCGAGCATATCTGAGTCGAACAGTAGAGCACTCTTACTTTTTGTAGTTATTGTTGTCAGCAGCAGTATCATGACAGTCTGACAAGTGGCCTGCGGGCCTGAGCGAGAGCGAGTGGAATCGCAACGAATGTCAAGGCCTCAAATTCATTTATAATGTGAAATTTAATGCACTGCATTCGTCTTATGTGTTCGTCTCTTTGCATTTTCGGCAAGGAAAAAACTCAGTCGGCTGATTGATGAGCGCTCGTCGGAGCTTGGCCAACGTATCGCATTTGGCAACATGTGACTGCAGTGGCCATGTTCATATTGATTGGCATTTAACATTGAACTTTGCATGTTGTTTGAGGGGCTGGCGACGGGCCTAGGCGCTAAGCAAATGATGTGCCGTCGAATTTCACTGCAAATACTTTAGGGGAAATTCGAATGTGCATATAAGGTAATCAAGCGAGAGCTTTATTTATGAATTACTCAAATGTGGCGTAACGCACAGCGAGGACTTGTGCCACAAAAAGCAAACAAAAACAACGGTAGCTAGAAGGCCCCCAGCTGTGCCACGCAATTTATTTCCAAGAAGCTCAAACGCTAAGCCAGCTCTGAGGGTGGAAAGCAGCGGCGGTTTGCTACGAAATGCGCAGGGGAAAAATTTGAATTTTACTGCTAGAATTTGTTAAATAAAACACAAGCAAAATGATTTGTAACGTGCTGGCAGCGCATGCAAATCTACACAAAATATTTACATTAAATTGACTTGAATTGAAAGAAAATTGCTTGGGAAAACCAACAATAGCAACAACAGCAACAGCAACAACATCAGCCGCAGCCACAGCCAAAGCAACAGCCAACAGCAACATTAACAGCAACAGCAACAGCAACATCAGCATCAGCAAATGTGGTTGACAGCACGGCCAGGCATATAATAAATTCATCAGCACTGCAGAGTTCGTCAAGACAGTCACGGAGTCCGGCTTTCCACGGCGGGGTCAAAGTGAAACGTAATTGGCCAGCAGCGCTTAATTTTTGATTAAGCATCGCAGCCAAGCGACGGGCCAGCACCTGAAGCAACGGCAATTGCGCTGCCAACCTGTAGTATTTTTCGAGCGGGGGCGACTTCGATGTCAACGCAAAGTGAAAGTGAAAACTCCACCGAAAAAAACAAAAAAAAAATAAAAATAAAAAAGAAAGAAAAATGAGAAAAAAACGAAGGCTTTTCCTTTTATGCAATTGTTTGGGACCCACGCTTGGTGTTTTCCCAGACCGCCGTGACTCGTTCTGGTTTGACTTTTGGTTTGCCTACCTGGCCTGGCCTGGCCTGGTGCAAAACAAAGGCCAAATAAATCGATGGTAAAAGTTTCGGGCTGATCTTGGCAAGTTCGTTGCCTCACTCTTTTGTTCCTAAGCGCCACAATTGGCATTGAACGCGGGGCAGGCTGCTAAGCGTTTTGTTTGCTTTGCTGTTAACACAAATGGCAATTACAGCAAATTGGCTATTTCTGCCACTGCCACGGCTGCTGTTGCATTCATTTAGCTCTGCTTTTTGGGCTATATGCAGCGGATGAGCCGCAGCTTCAACTGCGAAAGTTGCATTGCGATTGCGTGTGAGCTTTACGTGAATTACCATAAATTATCGCCAACGGATTATGCGGTTTGGCTTCCCATACCAACACATACACAAGCGCTCACATCTGTGCAACTGTGCATGTCCAAAATGTAGAACAAAACAGTATCAAAATGTCCAACTTTCACGCTGCTTGCACCTGTGCAGCATGGCTTGAACATACACACATACAAATGCACTTACATATGTATAACCACATTTATTCTCAAGATAATATACACCTGACAGCTCACTGCTTGGCATTTCTCTTGAAATTATAATTAATTTAATGAAACGCTCAAATTACCCAGGAGCCAGTGCAGTGTGCAGCGCCACTGACAAAAGCTGCCTGCTATGATTGTTTATTGCTCAGCCTATAAGCATGCTTTAGTTTTTGCTAAAGCCGACAAAAGCTGAGCTGATTAGATGCTGATGATGTTGCAATCATCTATAACTCTAAAAGTCCTATTGAGGCAAGTTATGGACTACAGAGGTATCTTGATACTCTCGCTGATTGGTGCATACGATGGAATCTAAAAGTCAACCCGCTAAAAACATTAAACCCTTGCTTCACCTTAAAAAGGCTGCCAATGCATACTCCCCCAATCCAGCTGGCGGGAATAACACTACAGCAACCAGCACAGGCGAAATATCTTGGAATCACACTGGACAGGCGTCTCACCTTTGGGCCACACCTCAAAGCTGCGGTGAAAAAATGCCGTCACAGACAGCAGCAACTGCGATGGCTCATCAATAAAAAGAGCACCTTGCCGCTGAGATGCAAAAGAGCTGTCTACGTGCAGTGTATCCTGCCGATATGGCTCTATGAAGTGTAAATCTGGGGAATTGCTGCCAAATCTAATTATAAACGGGTTCAGGTTTTGCAGAACCGAGTACTGCGACAGATAACCAACTCTCCCTGGTATGTACGCGGCTTAATACTTCACAGAGACCTTAAGCTGTTTACTGTCGAAGAGCAGATTGGAAGACACACAAGCAGATACACGGACAGACTGCAACGACACCGAAGCCTACTTGCAAGTGGTCTAATCCCTGCCAGACCCCTAAGACGTCTTAAACGGCAAGGCTTAGCCAGAACGATGGGAATGCTGGGAATGCTGTAAACTGTCTCCTTTTAATTCCTCATATTATGACTGGTTTGGTTCTAATTCCATATATATACATGTGTTGTTAAGGTACTAAATTTGATTGTACAGGTTCTACACTTTTAAAATATAAATAAAAAAAAAAAAAAAAAAAAAAAAAAAACAATAAGGAATATGGAAAATATATCTTAAAGTTACAGAATTAGTAAACTTTATTTACTAAAAATTCTTTGTCTGTAATATACATTTTAATCAGTTCTTTATGTAAATAAAAGAATAGCTGCCCAAACATGTTTTCTCTTAGTTCATAATTTCACTTGATTCCCAGTTGTTTAGATAACTCGACAAAATGTCTAAATTTTTAAACATTTCAACTAACTAATAGCTACTATATATGATATACATATAAATATTAGATATATATATATATATATATATATATATATATATATATATATATATATATATATATATATATATATATAATGGAATAAAACTCAACTTTTGCTGCTACTGCCAAGGCAACCCGCGCAAAATAGAAATTCTCTTGTGGCTTATCGTAGAATAATTGCCATAAATGATCGGATTGATTCGTTCCGAGTTCTATAGCGGCACTTTCATTAACTTTCTTATTGGCGGCGACAATTTTCTAGCAATTCCGTTGGCAAGACTGCAATTTGCCCGCAAATTGAGTTCATTTCGTTTTCTATGCAGCATAGCTAATATCTGTGCCAAAATCTTTGCGTGTCCAAATGAAAGACGAGAGCAACCAAAAGGCTGCTGGCATATATATAAATATAAAAATCTTAAGCCTATTGTGATGAATGTTTGTGTGCGTGGAGCAAGCTTTAGCAGCCAGCAGCCGATGAAAGTGGGCGTCAGAGCGAATGTATCATTAAGCGCCGCAGCAGCAGCAATAAAACAAAAAAAAAAAGATTGAAGTAATTACAAAGACTTGCTAATTACGACAATGAGCAATGAAATTGACTGGCTGCCTGGTTGCCTGGCTGGCTGCCTGGCTGGCTGGCGGTTTTACTGCCAATTGCACTAAATCTGCAGCGAAGCAGATTGCCGGCAGCTTAGCAGCTCAACAGCTCAACAGAAGTGCATCCAACATGCATATTACGCTCTGAATAGCCAACTGGCATTGGGGCGCCAAGAAAAGCAAAACTGGATGCAACGGCTGCCTGGCTAATTGTGGCAACTACAAGTGTATAAATTTGTAGCACAGTCCGCCGCACAAGATCAGTTGGCCGAGCGAGTTGGCCAGAACAACAACATTCACAGTTATCAAGTGACAAGAGGCTAATCCCAAAGGATACACACACAATGGATACGCGTTTGGGTCTACTCGCCGTGCTGGTGCTGCTGGCGGCGCCCATCTGGACGCTGGAGCTGCCCCACAATGCGACTGCGGCTGGCGAGAGCGGACTGCTGCGCACCATGCGGCACGTGTGGACGCAGTGCGCCGAGAGCGAGGATATTTTTTGGTGCTGCAAGCTGCAGGGAGCCCGCCTGCTTGGGCGCGCTCTTAAGGTGCAGCAGCTCAGCATTGTGGATGGCATTAATCTGGTGAGGCGAGCAGGCGGCGAGGACACGCGCACAGGACGCGCCAGCATTAGCGAGCATCAGCTGAACAATCGCGATCTCGAGCACATGTCCAGCAAGAGCCTGGATGCCCTGCTGCTGGAGCGCTTCCTCAACTTCCTGCACAGCCACCAGCTGCAGGTGAATCTGCCACGACTGCTGCGCTACGGCGAACGCAACAGCCAGGACTGGCTGCAGTCGCTGCTGGGCTACTTCATGAACGGCGAGCAGACGGGCGTGGACAGCGAAGGGCGCAAAAAGAAGGACGACAAGAAGTATCTGGGTCCGTTCATAGCCGCCGTGCTGCTAAAGACGGCCATACTGAAGATGGCCTATCACTCGATAGCCATTGTGGCTGGCAAGGCGCTGATCGTGGGCAAGATTGCGCTGATCATCAGCGCCATCATTGGGCTGAAGAAGCTGGTCAGCCACGACGGCGGCGAGAAGACCACCTATGAGATTGTCAAGCATCCGCAGGTGCAGCAGAGCCACACCTACTCGTCGAGCCATCAGGGCGAGTACGAGAGCGGCGGCCATGACGGTGGCTCCTATCATCGCAGCATTGACGACGAAATGATGATGCAGGACAAGGCCTACCACGCCTGGTTGCCACAGGCTGGCGCTGGAGCCGCAGCTGGAGGACAGGGAGCTGCCTCTGGCGCCTCCAGCAAGGTCAAGCGATAAGCTCGCTTAGCAACTCGACCAACACCAAAGAATCGAAAATTGTTTCGCATAGCTTCAATTTGTCTGCAATTGTATTTACACTTGTTGACTTTCAACTTAGCCTAAGTTTAGTTATTATAGTTACGATTATTTTTACCACAGAAATACATAAAGCTAGAGAAACCCAGGTCTGCGCACAGCGGCAGTTGTTGGCTCCGGCTCGTTATTTAGCGTCAAATGTCGTCGACTCGGCTGCTCCATCTCGTAGGCATAGTAGGCCTGGTCGTGACTCGGATGCGAATCGTCTGCGACGGGCTCTGACGGATGGGTGCCACTGTAGTCGTGCGTGGGCATGCTGCGATGCCAGCCGCTCTCGTGGCTGTGCCCGCCGCTCGTCACGATCACATGTTCCGGACTACTGCTGCTGCCAGCCGAGCCCTTTTTTAGACTGCCCTGCAAAGAGGAGCGTAGCGCCAATTGACTTGATCGGAACAAAAGTGCTTAGCCTACACTCAGAAAAATCAGGCAATGCTTTGCAATGCGTTTGCATTTCCAATGAAATTTTTGATCTAAGCTAAAGTAAAGTTAGCAAAGTGCTGATTTTTTGAGGGATTTAACTCATGCTGATTAGACATTATTTTCATACTTTTTTAAATGTAGATCAATTTTATATTAGTTTTACAAAAATATAAAAAATAATAAATGAAAAATTATTTAAATTAAAAAAAAAAAAAAAAAAATATATATATATATATATATATATATATATATATATATATATATATATATATATTTATATTAATAAAGAAAATATATGAACAAATAAAAAAACTTTTGCTAGTTTCTAGATTTTACACTTTTACAAGTAAATTACTTTTAATAGATACAAAAGCTGACTGATTTGAATTGATTCTTGAAATTGCATACATTCAAATGTCAGATTTAATAAGCTAGAGAAAATATTTAATGAGAATGGAGAAATTCATTATTGCAGCGATTCTTCGAGATGTATTATTCAATTTAAAAAATACTATAAAATATTCAGATGAAAATTTATGTTCAAGCAAGCACCTCTATGCAGATATAGATATAGATTAAAAATATTAATAATGTCTCATTTAACTAGCCTATAAACAGACAGCGGACAGACAACGGAGATGGCTGTGGCTGTCTACACTCAGCTGTTGTGACTGCTTAAATATAAATGTCATATATATCACAGACGTCGCTATATTCACTTATAAATCTTTTCACTCTCCAATAAATTTACTAAAATTCCATTTTGATTGCACTTTTTTTTACAGTGTTGCCTATGAAAATAGTTTTTGTTTTTTTGGTACTAAATTAACTCACCAGCAGCGATATGACGAGAGCGATTTTGGCCATTATGAAAGCGGCGCCAGCGATGAGGATGACCTTGCCGAGGAACATTTGTGCGAAGGTTGCCAGCATTATCATGCCGCCCATCATGGCCATGTTCTTATCTTTGTCCTTCTTCTTGCGACCTGTTTTTATGAAACAGTTTTTGTTTTTATTTTTCTTCTTATCGTTACCTTTCTTCTTCTTCTTTTTCTTCTTCACTTTTTTCTTCTTGTCCTTATGTTTCTTCTTCTTTTTCTTCTTCTTCTTTTTCTTGTGTTTATCTTTGTCTTTGTCTTTCTTTTTCTTTTTCTTTTTATTTTTTATCTTATCTTTGTCTATATCTGTCGCTGTCGCATGCACTGCCAAACTACCAAAGCCCGCAACTATTTTATCGATTTTATCATCTATGCGAGAACTCGTACCTTGATCCACGCTAGGCTTAATGCCGAAGTCATCGATGGCATTCGATATGGTCAGCTGCCGCGGCAGCCTCACCTGCAGCGCTCTGCCCTGAGCCAGCTCCAGCAGCTTGGCAGGCAAGCCTGGCGAGCTGCGTGCCTGTTGCGTCTGCCTGTTGTGCTGATGCGGCTCTATGCTGAGATACTCGTTCAGCTGCCAGGTGTTGTTGTCCTGGCGAGCTGCATCCAGCAGTCGTTCCGCTTGTTCGACCAGGCACTGCCATGCCTCGGCGCCGGCCAGGCACTGCTGTAGCAGCTGGCCCAGGCTGTGTGTGCTCCACAAGGATAATTCACTGGTTCCATTCAGGTGTTCTGCCTGTGCAGCGGCAAGCCCCAGCCACAGCCACAGCCAGAAGAACACGAGTTGGCGCATGTTTGACTTTCGAACTACAAATAAGTGTTTTGCCAGCCTGTGGCTTGTTATATATATGAGTGCTGTGACGTCACGGGCATAACAACAGAATACCACAATTAAATGGCTTGTCAAAGCGCGACACGGCCAAAGCGCTCTCTTGATGGGAATCTAATAAGAAAAGTTGGTCTTTCACGGCAGCTCGAACTCTTGACAGAGTTCACTGCTCACTGAACCGCCAAATCTTTTGCATGGCGCGACTTTCGCTTTGGAAAGCGCTTGGAAAACCGGCAGTGGCAAAGTTTTTGGTTTTGATTTTGATTTTTTCATTTCATAAGTTAAGCTTAGCTAATTGAACTAGGTCTTAATTAGAATATAAAACACTCTGCAACAAAATTGAGTGTTGGCTGAAGTGATGGATGTTTCCAATAGCATTTTTCACGTAGCTAACGAAGCGACTTAAGTTTGAGCAGTCATAGAAGGATAATTGAGTTTTAGTTTCCAAAATGAATCATTTTTTCAATGATTTTAGTCTTTAGACTCGCAGTATGTGAAAAATGCTATCAGAATCAGCTCCATCATCACTTTTGTAATACAGTGTAATCCATGACAGCTCACAGCGATCGCACATCCACAACCTGCCAGCCATTCATCTGGCTGGTCGAGGTGCTCTGCAGACTGCGCACCAAAGCATCTGCCGAGCCGATGCTCTCCTCCAGTGGATTGTTTTGGCGGCGCTGGTGCTCGTAGTCATAGAACCGATCCTCAGTTGGTCGCTTAGTGCTGGCAGCTGCTGCGGGCTGTTCCCTTGGCTGCTCGAAGCGCACTTTGCGATCGCTACGCTTGTACGGCTGTGGCTCGTGCACATTGTACTGATGATGCAGCTCGTCGTTGTGATTGTACACTGTGGTCTTGCCAGGGAAATGGCCAATGGGGCGTGGTCCGGCGAAGCCACCACCATAGCCGAAGCCGCCGCCGCCACCAAAGCCACCAAAGCCGCCAAAGCCGCCCAGCGTGCCCAGCACGCCGCCCAGACCCAAGAAGCTACTCACGTAGATGGCCAACTTGGCCAGGAAGAGCGACTTCTTCAGCAGCAGGCATATGCCAGCGAAGAGCAGCGGCACCAGCGCCACCAAATTGAACTTCAGACCCAGCAGAAAGGGCAGCAGATACTGCTTGGCCAGCAAACGACCTGCGCAATTTCGTTAAAGCAACTGATTCCTTATCTATATCTAAAGGCCAACTCACCTGTGCTGGCCTCCTCATAGCCAAACTGTCGCTGATCAAGCGCACTATCGTCCAGCACAAACTCCGCCACGCTGTTGGCATCGGCTGTGGGTCCGATTTTGAACATCAAGCCCGGATAGAGAGCATCCATGTGCCACTCCAGGCTGCGCTGTCCCATCACAGCGCCCGCGTTTTCCAAAATGCCACGAAAGTCCACGGGATCTGTGTCCAGCACGTTCACCAGCGAGCGACTTGCCGCCGTCTCCTGCCTAACAGCAACAAAGTCAGCCATGAAAGTCACATTATCCCGCTCCTCGAAACGCTGTATGAAGTTCAAGGCGGAACGGCCAAGGCATTCACTCAGCTTGCCACGCTGTGAGCCGCGCACGCACTGCTTGAAATGCTGCAGTTCCTCTAGACTGTCCTGCTTTAGGTCGGTGCCAGCAATCGCTTTGATAAGCAGCAGCAGCAGCAACAGCAGACGAGGAAGCGTTTCCATGCTGTACAGCTCGATGAATACGAGTTAACTAAGCCTGCTGGCCTGCTGACCTGTTGGCTTTATAGTTGAACCAGCCTCGTTATACAACTCATTTTTTGGCCAAATCTGCTCGGCTTCGGCTCACTTTTCGCACATGTAACGCCGCCGTGGCCCAATAACGGAAATTGTTGTACATCAACGCCAAGTGACTGACATTTGTTGTTAACGTTGCTCCAGCTGCTGCTGCAGCAGCTGGCATCATGGTCATGGTCAGTGCACACGCGCGGCCGGCGACCCACTGCGCCGACTTTTGGCCAATTTTTTTAACTCTCTTCTTTTCGCACATCTTAGCCATTACATAATGAGCCATTGTTGGGCTCCAGAAATATTATGAAAGCGGCGCCACAGCTTAGATCCAATAAAGCAGCGCCATCCAGTAAGCGACTGCAATTATGGCATTACCACAAATGTACGCCCATTTAAAGAGTCAAATTTGAATTTTTTCAAGCCTATTAAGAGCCGAAAACAAATCAGATATTAGAGTTAAGATTAAGTTAAGTCTGCAGCAAATTAGTATTGCGTTTAAGTTGAGGCAAGTAACAATTGTGCCTCTAGTCTAGACCTCTAGTCTATTAGCAAGCTCTGATCTTTGCTAAGCACAAAGTAGATACAATTTATATTATGACTTATTTAGCTCTTGAATTATGCTATAAAATGTAAGATGATTATGAAGAGTAGCAGTAATTGCAAGAAAATTAGCAACTGAGTCTATATGCCTTCAAGTCTCTCTATCTGCCTCTCTGTTTGAAACATATTGCAATATCTTATAATTTTAATTTGGTCTTCTTTGCTGAGTGTTTCAGCTCTTAAATATAATCTAAGCTTCACAGTCCATAGAGCATATTTACATATATAACTACATCAAGTGAGCATCAACGTAGCTCAGTCTATATATCAAAATTGCATATTTCACGTTAACAAACAAACCTTGAAGTTTATTTAATCTACAGGATTCCCAAGTATTTTTATGTCAGCACAAGAATTTTTTATAAAAAATTATTTTAAGAATTCAAACTGGGACAAATTCAATCGAATTCTGAGCAACAGAAATTCTTTCTGTTAAGAATTTAATAGTACAATTTTATGGCATACTATCAAAACTCAAACTACACTTAAAGTTTATTTATTTAATATTCCTTTGCAAAGCAAACTTTTATAATTTGGCCATTTTCCACTTTGCGGTTGTATTTTATATTTGTTAATTTTCACAACTGTTCATATGTGTTTAGTGTAGCCAAATATATTCCCCTGGCGCCTCACACTTGTCTAATGATGTGCCCTTTCTGTTTTCTTTTTTTTTTTGCAGTTGTTGTTGTGGGAATAGCAATCCGAAAGAGGTTGACCACCCGCACCACACAATGAATCATTTGGCTGCGGCTCTGGGGTAGCAAACAGAGTTCGAGTCGAAAGTGTTGCATACTTTCAGGCGGAATGTGTTTAAACTTGAAAACAAGTTTTGGTGTTGCCAGCCCGTTGTAGTACAAGAAAACTCTTAATAACAGCAACAACAACAACAACAGTAGCTGGAGTTGTAGCAAGTCGTTAGATACACTCGCCGCCTACAACCCTTAAACCGCTGAGTGGTTGGCAAAGTTTTGCATATTTGGCTAATGAATTCCGACAGACCTGAACCACAAGTGCCACGCCTCCAGCCCACTCATTTTCAAGTAGGCTAATTTGTATGCTGAAATTCAAGGCTTAATATAAGCAATGGCCTGGCAAAAGTTTTGCACGCGAATGGAAGCTGAAGCTTTTAAGGAGCATTGCTCTGTCTGTCTGTCTGGGCCGCATAATTGGTCCGATAGCTACAAATCTGGCCAAATAAGTGGCATTAGTTTTCCCATTGCCACAGACTGTGACAAACTCAATCGATAGAAATTGTATTAATAAACACTTTCACCAGCAATATTTGAGATTCAACGAACGACAGCAGCAGCAGCAGCAGCAGCAGCAGCGGCGGCGGCAGTTGCAGCAGGCGAAAATTGTTGACAAAACAGTTAAGAAATCGTTTTGGCCATTTGGCATTTGCCATACGGCCATAAATTGCACTGACTCCCCCCACACTGAGGGGCGTGTCCCATCTTCATAGCAGCATTGACATTGTGAGGGGCGTGCAGAGCGTACGTGCTGCAATTGCACATGCAAAAAGCAGGTCGTGGCCAAAAGCGGGGACTTTCATTTGATTTTGGAGCGACACCGGATACCAATGAACACATTGGCGTGGGCAGGGGCTACGTCGAGAGTGTGGAGTGTGGAGAGTGCATTTGCAATGGCTAGTCCAATAGGAAGTTAGTTAGCCAGCTAGCTGCAGCTCTGGGTCGGATCTTTTGCACGCCTGACTGCGCTTGCTGCAAGTGAAATTCTTCTTCTACTTCGGCTGCTTCTTCTACGTCTTCGTGCAGTTGTTGTTGCTGTGTGATTTTGTGTGTCGCACATGCAATTGATATCACTGGCCTCGTTTGCCTTAGTTGGTAATTCATTTTATTAGTGAAAGAGTGAAAGCATTTCACTTGAAAAGCTCAAGAAAAAAAAACAAAAGAGCGAGCTGTATGCGGTGCACGTTGCGTATGCGCAATATAAACATATGTGTGTATAGAGATGTATATATATTCTATTTTTTTTCACGTGTGTGAAATGCAAAACAATTTTTCGGTTACAGATAAATGCGGCTTTATTAAGTTTCATTTGAGTGTGTGAGTGAGTGTGTGTGTGTAGGGCAATTAGGTGCGTGCATGGGGGCGTGGCGAAACGTTGACTGGACAGAGTAGCTTGTGTGTGGCTTGTAATAAAAAATAAGAAACTGTATTTAGTTAATAGTTGTAAAAAATAGTAAAGCTATGAGCAAATAATTACACATAATACAAGTACGTGAGTACAGTTAACAGTTAAGAGTTTACAGTTATAGTTTACAGTTTACAGTTTACAGTTTACAGTTTACAGTTTACAGTTAACAGTTAACAGTTTAGTTAAGTATAAGCAAGTGCCGCCCCCGCTTTCATATGGTCGACTGCAATTGCAGTCGGCTGCATATTTGTTAGAGCTTATTAACTAGGATCTCATTTCTTTTGTTTGATAGTGTTTTGTTGTTGTTGTTGCTGTTGATGGCGCCTTTTGCTTGAGTTAAGCTACAAATAAATTAAATAAATAAAATAAATTAAACGAGCTGCGCGAGCTCTGTGCTCCTTTCCTTCACTTTGATAAGTTTTTCTCTTCTTCACATTCTTCTTTCTTTTGTGTATTGCACTAATTGTGGTTGTTGTTGTTGTTGTTGTTGTGACGCTTTGGCTGCTGTGACCGTCTATTGCTGATACGCCGCATAGGCCAAGTTCTGTGCCTCAGCATTGTTATGCAGCGACCTGCCATAGCTGTGCTCGTGCTCATAGTGCGGATGCGCAACGACCTCATAGTTCTCCTTCTTCGACTCCAGCAGCTTCTTCAGGCCGATGATGCCAGAGAGCAGCAGCGCAATCTTGCCAATGACCAGAGCCTTGAATGAGATGAGCGCCAGGAAGCCAATGGCCAAGGGCAGCAGCGCTGCCATCTTCAGCTTGAACAGCATCAGCAGCGGCATCAGATACTTCTTCTTCTCCTTCTTCTTGCCGCGCGCTATCAAACAGAAAGAAAAAAAACAGTTGATAAGTGTCTGCTTGACATGCAATACTTTCGCTTGTTGGCTGGCCAGCGGCTTGTTATCTGCTCATTAGCAACTGGAGCAAAGCGCATAATTATTAAATAGACAGCAATGAGCAATGAATAATAAAGCAGCAAACAGGATTGGCCGCTTTCTATGGTCGGAAATCGCACAAAAAAGAAAGTGCGCCTGAACTGCGCTGAACTGGCTAAAATGCAATTAATTGCAACAAGCGGCAGCAAGCGGTCGGCCAAGCTGCATGCCACAAGCGCCTGTCAATGCACCGCTAGACCAAAAGCCATCGCACCGCATCGGTCCTGTATGCCAGCTAGCTGGCTAGCTGACCCCAATGTATGCGACAGCTAACAGTGAAAACAGGATTTGAAGCAATGCCCAGTTCGTGTTTGTGTTGTTGCTGCAGGTTGGCCGCCAGACGCAACTGCAACTGGCCGACGATAATTGCACCACTAACCCAAATTGGCAGCATAGCGCAGAACCAGTAAGCCAGAACCCAAGCTGTTTGGCTTGGATATTATTTTCTTAGCTACTCACATTCTTCGAGAGCGCGCTGCATATCCTGAATGGAGTCCTTGGGCACCTTGAACTGCAGCGTGTGTGTGCCAAAGAAGCGCGCCACGCGCTCCACCAGCAGCGAGTCGACCTCACTTTCGCGTGCCTCCGCCTCCTCAGGCAGGGCCATATCATTCAGGGCACGTCCCACGGGTATATCATCGGTCTTGACCAGGGAAATGCCCTCCGTCAGCTTCACATCGCCGTTCTCCGAGTCGAAGTAGTGCAGGGCGCGTTCCTGTTTGCAAATGAGTGTGTGTATGTGTGTGTGTGTGTGTTGTTTTGATATTAGGTAATCGCTTGATAAAGCCGCGTTCTACATTGTTTTTGTTTACCTTCATGCACAACACCATGGAGCGCTCGCCGCAATCCTTGACCATGCGAAGGGCACTCGTCAGCAAGCTGTCAGCCTCAGAGGCTGCTGCTGCCGCTGTGGCAAGCAGCGCGAACAGGCACACGAACTTCAACATAATTTAATTTATTTTTGTATTATTTCTCTTTTGAGTGGGGGCAGCCTGGGATTTAACGCACACAACAACACTTGACACTTGGCTTTCAAAATATATATATATATGAATTATATATATATATATTGATTATCCTTGATTTGGGCAACGACTCTGCCTGAGTCTTAGCTGTACAGTTGATTGAGTGCACTGCGCTCGATTGGCTTATTCGATCTGTCGGTCAGAAGGCAATCCGTAAACTGTGGCTAGAAGACGCACGCGGATCGAGTTTTATTCCCGGCCAGCAGCGCAGTTGCTGACAACGACAACGACAACGACAACGACAACGACGTCGATGGCAACGACGACACACGACGCGATAGCCGCATCCCCAACACACGCACACACACATCGACTCAAACAGTAGCCGAGCTTAGAATTTAAATAAACAACCTGACGAAGACGACGTCAAGCACAACCACAACCACAACCACAGCCACAATCGCCACATTTACAACCACAGCGAAGCGCAACGGCTGCGGCTCTTAATGCAACCTGGCTTGACTTGGCCTGGCCTGGCCAACACTACAGCGTGTGTGTGTGTGGCAGCAGCTACGCTGACGCAGAGCCGCAGTCGCAGTCGCCGACGCAGTCGCTGGCGGCAGCGCTGCGTTCGCTTGTTAGCGACTGCTGCTGTTGTTGTTATTGTTGTTTGTCAACAGACTTAAGCAGCACTTAACTATTTGCACACACAGCGACACAGACGCACACGCACACCTAGCCATAAAGCTAGTTTGCTTGCTAAATGATTGGAAACAGTTTAGCGAGCATTAGTTTTGGCAGCTTTAAATTTTGAATTGGCGCCTGCATATGTGGCACACTTTCGGGTGGCTGAGAACCATTGAGCTATGTGTGGTCTGGGGCTGAAAGTGGTGCGTGCAGCTAGACGCTCCACTGATCGAACCATTAGAAATTGCAGACACGTGACTTGATGTGGCATTTAAAGCGAGGCCTAATCAAACGCCAGCATAGCTAACCAATCGTACCACATCAGCAGCAGCGGCGGCAACGTCAGCGGCTCTACTTATGATGAAAGCAACCACACGGCAACGGGCATGGCTCAAATTGGAGTAAAATAGAAAATTAACTAGTTTGCAGGCGGCATGGATAAAAAAATTTCACTTTAATTTTGCTTTTTATTTATGTATTTGTTTTTCTCCATCTCACTTATAGCCCCATCATGTATCTCTTCTCCACACACATTAGCACATAAACATATCTCTATATATCTGCAATTTTGTATGCCAATCGCTGACATTTGCACAAGAGTTTCATATCAAACAAAATCTTTCGCATTATGTTGCTTTAATTTTTACTCTTTAACATGAATATTATATTTAAATTTTTAGCACGTCTGAGTATACCCTGCGTATGGAAAAAGTTATAATAAGAGTAAGCGAAAATTTTGGCAAAATGAACATTTCATTAGATCACTAAATATTGTTTAATATTTTAAATAAAAACTGTAAGTTCTGTTATGCCTTTTTAAGTTTGAAACTAGTTGAGTTTTTGCCTTAAATCAAACCTAAATATATTTTTATTATAAATGCATACAATTATATATATTTATTTTTTTTTATAAATTTAATATAATTTAAACATATGTAGCTTACTGGATCTGCTTTTTATTTTATTATAATTCGTATACTCTCAAATCTGAAATTTATATAGCTTAAATTATGAATTATGCTTAAGTTCTCAAATATATATTTTTTTTCTAAGTATTCCAATGCTGAGAATTTTCGATCATTTTAAATTAATAATTTTAGAGTTCTACATATTTCTTGCTGTAAAATGTAGTAAGCTATATCTAAGAATATAAAGAAATATATATTTTTTATTCAACGAGTTTGTAGAACTTAAATAAAGATATGGATTAATTGATTTGAGGAATAAACTTTACGATTCCGAGTAGATTCCTATTTTAACTCAAGCTGAAATTTCTCGAAATTATGGCAAGTTTTTCACAGTTGAAATACTGATGAAATAAAATGATTTAAGGACTTATAAATAAATGTTTAAATATACTCAAATATGTTTAAATGTACAAAAAAATGCAAATACATTTTTTATTAACTAATATAATATATATTAAAACTGTATCTTAATAATAATAATTATATATATATATTTTTTTTAAATCAGCTTGGATTTGCTTAATATCAAAATCCAGCCAAGGCCAAGTTAATTTATTTAAAATTTATGAGAGGGTATTCTCCAGTCGAACAGTCTGCACTTGCGCTTTCTCGCTTGTGTCTCATTTTGCTCGTTTTTTCTTCTTCATTTTTGTGTAATTTACGCATTAGTCAAGTACCTGAAAGAAAGCGCTGAATGCTGAGATTTGCACGCTACTTAAGCTCGATTCCAGATGCAAAGCCAAATTTTTGTAGCTGATTATCTGCCTAGCCTAAACAGCATATAGTTGATGAGCCGAAAGGTGTTTAGTTACTGTTGCTGTTGCTGTTGCCGTTGTGGCTGATGCTGATGGGATATGCAAATGAAGTGCACGTCTATATGTAGATGGATGTGCGTGTGACGTGACTTGAATGCCCATCAGCTATAAAGTCTGAGGTGTCGTAGACTCGTGCAGCACGCATCTAGCTTCAAATTGTGTAGGGCATGTGTCAGTCGACTAGCCAGCTGTTAGCGAGCTAGTTAAGATTCGGGCAATTATTTTGACTGCATGTCAAAGCAATGAAAGTGAAATAGTATTTGATTTCATTTGAATGGCTGCGGACGAGCAGAGATTTTCGCTTATGTAAGCAGCTAAGGTCTGAGAGAAAAGCTATTAAAGTGCCTCGGCTTACCTTCTACCAAATACCTACTGAAATATTTAAGATACTTAACAGTGTTTGCCCGAAAATTGACTCGGAACAGGAAACAACTTGGCAACATCCTGTTCATTAGACTCACGGATTAGTTCTGCTTACTCTACGACCACTCATTGCTTAAGCTGCTTTCATTTCACGCTTTGGTCCTCCGCTCTCGGGCCCAACCCTTTTTTCAGCTGCCGTCTACCGAATTGACACCTTTTTGAAAGTTTCACTTTCATTCCAAGCATGAGAGGCCCCTCTCGGTCCCTGCCTCGCCATCTGTGACATTTGCTGGCCAATTCCGGGTACCTCTGGTTCCGTTAAGCTTGAGTAATTTTCAATTAATGAAAGTGTTACCCAGGTCCCAACTGTGACGTCAGCAATTAAAGCAAAAGGCCATTTGATTAGGCGTGAGAAATGTATTTAAATGAGTTTCAGGCCCAGGTTTTTTGCTTTTTTTTGGCTTTTAAATAGGTTCAATGTTCTACCTCGTTTGGCCTGGCTGCTTGCTTGGCCAGCAGCTCATTAATATTTTGTGCAGACTGCAAAAGTGAAAATGTCGCATTCCTCAGAAAGCAACAATAACAAAAGCAACTACAACACAATTGAAGCAAGTGAGAGACGCTCGAGCATATTTGATCTATGAATATTGCATTCGACTCTAAAAAATGTGCTCGCAGTTTTATATATATCTTTATTTGGTAGAAAGCGAAGACGTTTTTTTTTCTGCTTTTTTTAGCGCGCACGTAAGCACTTTTTGAAATTGTTATCATAAATTCAGCTGACGCCGTTGAGGCGTGGCTCGGCTGTCAGAGAGTGAAGGCAGGCGAAGTTTTAAGCAAAAATTGTTTACTACATTTAATTAACGCTTACTTAGGCCTAACACACACATTTAGTTCGTTACACATAGATATAAATATATATATATATATATATATATGGAGATATATATAGAAATAATCGAATTAAGCTAAACATTATTGATTATTCAGACAATTCATGCGGCAATCGTTTCTTTGGTTAACTCCCTCTCAAATGCAAATGCTAGCTCAGCCGGTTGGCTGGCTGCTTTACAGGCTCTTTGCGCTGCCCGCCGACTCCTTGGCCGGCTTCCAGCCGCTGTAGGCCATGTCGAGATCTCGGCCCCAGCCCGAATGGCCGCCAGAGGAGACGACCACCTCGTGAGAGGACTCTTTGCCGCCGCCGCCGCCGCTGAGCAGCTTCTTAATGCCAATTATGGAGGCCAGCACCAAAGCCAGTTTGGACACAATCAACGCCTTGCCCGCCAGCATGGCCAGCGCGCCATATGCAATGGGCACGAAGGTGCCGCCAAGCAGCAGCGGTATCATGATGTAAGCGCCGTTGCCTTTCTTATCCTTCTTCTTGCGTCCCTCCACCGAGTTGCTGTCAACGCCACGCAAATCGGGAAATTTGATCTGCGAGAGAGAGAGTGGTTGCCTCGGCACGTGCTGGCCTAACTTAGGACACACTCACCTGTAATGTGTGCTCCTGTAGGAATGTGCCCACACGCTTCATGATCATGCTGTTCAGGATCTGTTCCTTGGCATCCAGGCCGCGTGGCAGCACCGCTTCAATATCCTGTTCCGTGATTGACGGCAGCTGTGAACGCTTCTGTGCCGCATCTGTGCTGCTAACAAACTGAATGCCCTCGAACAGTGGCAACGCTTTGGCCGAGCGAAAGGCCTTCTCGAGCCCGGTCAACAGCTTGACCTTGAGGCACACGGACAGGTTCTCGCTCGTGCACTGCTGATAGATGCGATAGACCAGCGATAGATCTTTCCACAGGCTCGGCGAACTAGCTGGCTGTGCCGCGGGCTGCACTTTCTGTGGCTGCTGTTGCTGCTGCTGCTGCTGTTGCTCCATGCCTAGGCCATTGATGTGATGGTAGCTGGCCGTGCGCGCAGTCGAGCCAGGCAGCCAGCAGAAGATGATCATCAACGCTGCCACATGCCACATATACTTAATCATCTTCTGTGGTTGTGTGTGTGTCTGTGTGCGTGTGCGTTTGTGTGTGGGCTTATGTTAAGTTCCTTTCAAGCTATCCTGCTGCGTGATGGCAAAGCTGTTGCTGGGCGCTGCTCTTAAGTTGTTCAACTGAGTGCTGGCTAGAGCAGTGTAAGCATTATATACCGCCTGCCTGTTTGCCTGATGGCTAATTGCGCTTGGGTGCATGTCAAGCAGCAGCAGATGAATTTCATGAAAGAAAAAAACTAATAATGCAATTTGCAAAAACAAAAAAAGC